TATGGTGATATCAAGGGCGTAGGTTTGCATAGGGTCCCTATCGGTCCCAGATATTATAATATTTTTTATTTATTTATTTATATTTGAATTGTGTTGTTAGAACAAAACAAACTCTCTCTCTCTCTCTCTCTCTCTATATATATATATATATATATATATATATATATATATATATATATATATACGGTGTATAGGTAATACACGCGTCCTCGACAGGATGCTGTCATCTGATTGGCTGAAGCGCGGAGTCCCTCGTGGACAGAGAACTGGTCTGACATTAAATACACCAGGAAATAACAATTTGAATAACCCTCAAATTAGTGTTTCATTTGGTCTCATTGATATTGTTGACCCCGTTGTGCTTTGTAGGTGGGAAAATACCACCAAAAACGAAATTATATCCAATATCCGAAGTTTTTTCCCCACCCAGACAGTAACGTTAGCCATCGTAGCGCAGGTCGTTGTTAACGTTAGCAGCAGGCTAACTACTCACACAGTGCAGACCTGATAGCCTTACGATGCCGCCGCTACAATAGAAGTTGTCAGTGTTTTCGTATCTTATGGAACTAAATTCTCTGTCCGAGCGTCAGGTATCCATTCTCTACTGTAGAGCAGGTCACTGCTTGTATTAAATCTCCAGCGTCTGCGGCCTTTGGTCCGGTGCGTTAGCAGCAGCTGCCTAGTTGAAGCCAGCAGGATAAAGCTAACATACCTTATAATGGGACCATGCTAGTTTAGCCTACCAGCAGGCTAGCGACTCAAAGAGTGATAATAACGCTTGAATTGTCCATTTTGGTGAAGTTTGCATTGGATTGGTTTTTTTTTTAAGGGGTCTCTAGAAAATGTTACCCATGAGTGTTATCATTCAAAATGCTATTTTCTCATTTTTATACTTGTACGTAGTAAAAAGGTGCTATAAATTGGCATGCCCAAGTTTATGCACTATATAATAAATTATTTAATACATTATTTCATTGCTCAGAAATCCAGCACAGATGGCTTAGGCCTAGTTCCATGAAACCTGAACCCATTACCTACATATTACACTTTAATTTCAGAATAAACAGATGCATTGCATGTACTTCTCATTGGGTTATTTGGTTAATTAAGGCATTATCTGGACCATCAGGGCTTCAGGTGAGGTCTCACTCATGACATTTTGTTAAAAAACCACCAGCATTATCAAATACATTGAAGGACGTTTGGGGAAGTTGTTAGACTGCTTGATTTGCAGTCTGGAGGAACGTTTAACCAACCGGATTTGTAGAAACTCAGTTGATGCCATTGAACATTGAACCGTACTTTGAAATTGACAGGGAGATTCTGATTCTGTTCCAATCAAAGTGTCCAGTCAGCGCCACCAGCTACTAGGGAGCTGTAGGAGTTCTTAGGGCAATGCCAAGAGAGGTAAGTGGTCTCTTTGGCCAAGTGGAGAAGCTGAGCTCAATGTTTGTCCCTGTTTCGGTGCGTTAAAAAGGTCGAGGTCCTCCATGTCCCAGCAGCGGCTGAACAATGTCTCCGTATGTCATGTGCATCAAGATGCTTTGGACAAGGTTGAGCTTACAGGCTAACAGTTCATCTCAGTGGCTCATCAACAGAGGTTTATTTTTGGTGCATTTAAAGAAGAAATTTAAAGACAAATCGCTCATACAGGAGGAAAGCACTTTATTTAAGTGCTGCAGAAAAGAATTGGTTTTCATTTCTTTTGTCTTTTTTGGCTGCACAACTGGGAAAAGTTTTTTTTTACTATATTTTGGTTATAAATATATGTTAGTATATATTGGCAATTTAACAGAACGTTTATCAATGTATTTATTCATTATTATTTATTTGGTGCAGAATACTGTTTTGTATTTAAACTGAGCTTTTTTTTTAACACTGTTATGTTTAAATCAGTGCCAAGTTACACAAATATATGTTAATAAAGTTTGTCTTTTCAACACAATATCAACTCAGTTTTGTTTTTATGGAGGAGGGGGGGGGGGGGGGGGAGGTGTCCCTATCAATGTCCTTGGGTGATATGTATTAGTACAATATTTTACTATTGTCCTCCAATATAATAATTCTGCAGAAAGCTCATTGTGAATCCTTCGATATTTTCAAGGATTATTTCATGAAGAAGACATTAATCTGCGATGGGACTTCTTCTTTGTTTTTGTTTCCTCGTATGATTTATGATCTACCTCTTTATAGCCATGCAGCTCACAGAGAACACGAGCACAACATAGTGTCGACAACATTTTAATGCCTCCACGTATTTGAAAACCCAGAGATTTATTAGAGAGGCTGGGCCGAGCCTTTTTCTGCTACAATTTTACAAAAATTGTTAGAGGGTTATTTTCATGCTTTTCTCATTTTTATGATTTGATACTTTGATGCTTGTTCTGTAACTCAGGTATGTCATTTTTATCAGCAGCTCTAAAGAATACTAGTTTAGCTTTCGTCTGCTGGTTTTAACGGTTGGGATTTTGAGGCAATTTTAATTTTTTAATTAGTTTTATTTTGAAAAGCGCAATGAAAGTCGAATCAAGTCCCTCGTGACTGCAGCAGTTCTCCCAGATATCCATAACATGCTCCCCTCTTTAGAGACCAATGTGTTTCTCATTTAATTTAAATGAAATCGGGATGAAGGAAAACGAGCTTCCAAAAAAATGACGCAAGAGATGTCAGTAAAAATATTAATAAATGGGCTTTTTTTCCTTCATGCGTTGTCCAATACTTACAAAGTAGGGCATTTTCTTTTGTTAATATTTTAATAAAGAATTAAAGGAAACTGAAATATATTGTGGGCTATTTACTGACAATTTTGTATAATATAGACATTCTTTTAGGTTTATTATCCATTTAAAACATATGTAATTTAACCTAATTGAATTGAACAGGGCGGATTAGTGTCATTCCTTCAGACTATTATTAGATGCTCAAAAGTTCAGGTTCTTGCGAGATTTCAAGTTCCTTTTGACGTTTCCACCACAGAAGCTCTGCGGCAACTCGCTGCAGCTCCACAGGAGGGAAAACACGCCGCCCAGCGGACAGAGCCAGTCATTACAGCCTAAATGGTTCTCACGGTTTGAGTCATCTCACATATGAGGATTGGTTCTGTCCATCCTTTGTTTTCAGTTGGAATTAGTGGGTTTGGTTATTTAAAATAAATATAAACCCTGGTCAAAAACACCCAATGTCAGTTTAAATTGATCAGACAAAATAGATGGATGACATATTTGCCAAGAGCGCTGATTCCAACACTGAAAGAGGCGGTCACTATTTTAGTTGTGTACAATCTGCAAATGCACTAAAAAATCGTTTATATGAGTTTTTATTCTCCTATTCTGTAGATAAAAACAAAAATTCTTTTACGATTCTGTTTTTTCTTATTTTCATTTAGTGGGTAAATATGTTGGTCGGATGGAGGTTAAATTAAAACTCCACAGGCCTCTACACACACACACATGCATCAAGAATCGCTTTCGACATTACTTGCGTCACAACAACTGGGAACGTGCGTGTTTCGATCATTATTAACCTATTTTTGCCTTTCAGTTGGAAATATCCTGCCGCATGTTTGTGTGTTTTGCCGTTTAAGACATTACGTATTTTGTACGGAATGAAAAGGTTTAATCTGCAGAAATGAATAAATAATCCATTGACATGAATAAACATTGGGGGCTTACATTTGTGAAATAATAGGATGTTGTTGTACTTTTTATTTTAATCCACACTTCATTCATACGGTGTTAAATGCCACCGTATGAAGCTATGATGAATATTAATGAACTGGCGTTTTGTAATTCCGAAAGATATTTTCTACTGCTTCGTGAAATGAGAAGAACAATAATTAGAGGTCCGTTCATTAAATACTAACGTCATGGAGGACTGTCTTGTAATGTTTGGCCTTTAACAAAACACATTGATGTTATTATCCGCTAATCCGGGTTGAGTTCGCTGGAATGTGACTGCGGTCTGAGTCTCATCAGCAGACAACGACTTTAACATTTAGGACACTTGAGGCAGGAAAGGGTGTCCCAATAAAACCACATGGCTGTCTGGGTTAAATCACTTTATGGTCTCTCTCTCTCTCTCTCGCATGCATCCCGGGAGGGGGGAGGAAAGTCACGTTTATTCTCCAAATGCATGCAGTTGGTTTATGACCCTGCAGCAGGATTTATATGGCCGCCATAAAAGACGGGAGCTCCGAGACGCTGCACTGACTTTGAGGGAACTACGAGGCCGAAATGTGTCTCAGCGGACCGGAAGTCATCATATTTGAGAGCAACACCTTGACGTTGGTTTAATGAAACCATAATGTTCTTGATCTATAATCGGAAGACACGTCGTGCAGGCGGTGGCTCCCTCGATCAGACCGTATAATAGAGAATAAGACCAAGTTTACTACAATTAGCTTGAGTGCAATAGTGTGAGATTTACGTCATACTTGTGTCACTTCCTGTTCGCGTGTGCACTTTATTTTTAAATGTTATAATATTTTTAGCTTTAACTTTCTTCTTTTATTTTATACTAAGCCATAGCCTTATTCTACTAACCCATAGCATTAGCCTTTTATTTTATTGTATTACTCGTGCACTGCTCGTCTATTGTCTCACTGTCTGCTGTCACGCACCAACCGCCAAGTCAAATTCCTTGTATGTCTGACATATTTTGACAATAAACGTTTCCTGATTCCTGATCCTGATAAAAAACATCAACATTTTATTAAACAATATCGCAAAATCCCAAAAAGTAATTCTATTTGATTGTATAATTCCTTAATGAAACGATTGGCTGCAAAATATGTTGCAGAAGTTGTAGTATTTTGTGTATTTCATACAGAGAACAAACAATTGAGTTAAAAATATATAAATAGCGTCACAACTCCATTAGTGCGTGCTAATTATAATATATTTCAAATATGTTATAATGTAGTGTGACTACTATTATTATTACTTGCTCGCTGATCGTATTTCCGGTTTGTCCACACGAATTATATGATACAAGCAAACGACTAACAATACAACTGTCATTTTATTACAGCTAATAAACGAGCTAATTTAACAAAACATACGCTTCACTACAACATTGTTAATGCAAAACGTAATAAAACCCTAAAACTGATGTGGATGAGTCACACCAACACAACTCTAACAACAGAGAGATTAACAACGATGACGTCATCCGATTTTTATTCCAATGAAGCAAATCCCCACGAGCAGACTAGGCTAACGTAGCCTGTTGTGTGTGTCCGAGTGTTGTTGTTGTTGTTGTTGTTGTTGTTGTTGTGATCATCGAGTCCGTCTCATCTCCGTGGAAAAAAAAAACATTTCAAGTATTGATATCCGACAATTACGCAACTGCAGGATGTCGGACTTTCAGAAATTAAGTGTGTGTGTTGTTTCCGTAAAACGTCTCACATGAAATGTGTGTGTGTGTGTGTGTGTGTGTGTGTGTGTGTGTGTGTGTGTGTGTGTGTGTGTAGCGGAACATAGACATTAACAACAGAGATACACATCAACAACACAACAACAGATAGGCCTCATGAGGCAACGCATGCACACTTTATAAAAAGAAAAAGGAACCAGGAGGCTGATCGGTGCGCAGAGGGAATCGTCCCGCGTGGAGGACCCTGCTTTAGGGGAGACGGGGGTCGTCGTTACACTAACGGGTTCCTCCAATCCGGAGGCCGAATGCAGTCCGTGGTTATCCGTGTACAGGCCTCTTTTGGGGGGGATGTAAGTCGGGTTGTTTTTTGTTAATTGTATGTGATGAAATAATTTTTCTAGTCTTACAACTACAAGATGCAGAAGTTTTTGGATGAAACCCATATTTTAGCAAAAAAAGTAATGTCCCCCAACTACTCATATTTCTATATTTGACAAAAGATATATATATTTTTTTTCATTAAGGACGGGATTTCTCAGTGTGTTTTTGTGTCGCCCAGCCCAAAAAAAAACATTCCAACGGAGAGTATATTAGAATATTAATGTTATTATAAATTGAATGGAGTGCTTTTTAATCAGAAATACCTCTTGTGGCTGGATGGACGGTCGGACAAACACGGGTCTTTGACCCATTCGACCATTGTGGGCGTCGTAATGGATCAGAGGTGTTGTTGCCTGGACTCATTAGGACATTACTTGGACATTTTGTGTGCTGTTTTTTTGAGGTTCGTGGTCACTATGGGGACAGAAAACTGGTAGAAGAAGAATTCAGATGTTTTACTCAAGTGACAGTAGCAGTAAAAATACTGAGATTAAAGTAAAAGTCTTCAAAATCTTACTTGTTGCAGCTAAGAGCTCGTTTTAATCACTTTATTTACAGCCCGGTAGATTAACTTGTGATACTATATAATTACATTCACTCATATTTGTTTCAATAAACCCAATCAAAGTAACTAAAATGTAAAAATGCAGGAAGAAAAACGTTACCCTCTGAAATGTAGCAGAAAATGAAAATATGCAAGTCAAGGACGATACCTACCAATTTTACTAGTACACAGTACTTAAATAAATGTACTGGGTGACATTCCCCCGCTGACAAGAAGTAATTTAAATGCAGTATTAGATGTGTAGCCAATATGACAGTGAGGCTCATAAAATCTCAACATGTTGTGATTTGTTTGAAATGCTTCATTTATCCACTAAGACGTGAATGTGTTTCAATCAAATGCTTCAATTGCTCATATTGTTTACACCTTTTGCCACAGAATCTCTGCGTTTGGTCTCTTCTAAGCGATGAATCCATATCCAGGATGATGATTCATGTGAATTGCCAACGTTATAATTTGTATCTTCAGGATTTTCGCATACATTTTTACGAACAGGTTTTTGGAGATCAGGCTGGAATTCCATGTGAAGGCCAGATGTTCAGTCCCGTCTGGCACACCGGGGGCAGAAGTTTCTGCATTAAATCATAAAAGGTTATTTTGGCAGTGGGCACGGCTCCTTTTTGTTTCTTTGTTGCGAGACGTACCGCCTCAACAGAAACACACGTGTGTGTAAAAAGAGCAAACTCGATTTGTTTATATTCGATTGGTGGCTCTTTCTGTCAATCACACGTGTGTAACAACACATCCGGGTCTGCCCTCCTTCGCGGAATTCTCCCGCCGCGGTTTTACCCCAAGGGCAGCCATTAGCTTCACATTCCGTTGCCTAGTAACAGCTGACCGCGCCAGCTGGTGTAAAAAGATGCCGTGTGCATAGTGGTGCACTGCGTTTTCTTTAATCGGCTATAATCTCAGCTATATCCTGCAGAGAGAGAGAGAGAGAGAGAGGACAAAAAAAAAGGGAATCCATCATTCGTTCACACTCCTCCTCTCTCGGATCATCAGCTTCTTCATCTTCATCCGTCTGTTCTGGAACCAGATCTTGACCTGCCTCTCTGTCAAATTTAAGAGTCCCGCCACCTCCAGGCGCCGGTCCCTGGTCAGGTACATGTTGTAGAGGAACTCCTTCTCCAGCTCCAGGGTCTGGTGTTTGGTGTACGGACACCTTTTCTTCCGGGTGGACTTGGCGTAGATCCAATTGGCCGCTGGGTTGTCTGCAGGAGAAGACACGGGGGGGCGTAGATTTATTTATTTATTGTGTGACAAATATTGCAGGAACACATTTTATGAGCATGCAACTTTTGGCTCACTAGTATAAGAAACGATCTTGATGTCTTTATTTTTTTTTATCGCTGCGCTGCTTTAAGCTGAAACAGTTGTTGTTTAAGCCCATTTCCCCATTTGAATAATTTAACACAATGTGTCTGTTTGTTGTTTCTGGAAATTGTGTCAAAGATGAAAACGCAGCGAGCAGCAAAAACACGATTATTCAATAATGCGTAAATCTCTGGGTAGGTTTGGTTTAAAGAGAGACAGTCAAAGCCCTTTTTACAATGATTGAACAGCAGTTACGGTCAAAGAAACGTAAAGACTTTGCGTTTATATAGTGTATGACTTAAGAGAGCAACAGGTAGACTTTGGTTTGGGTTGGAAGGCAATCACCTCACAGAGGAGCTCGGCACAGATATCCAAAAAACATTTCATTACCGACACGAAGAACTCATTTCACATTTCACACATTTCAAATGTACCAAAAGTGACATTTGGCAAGAAAGATAATACAAATCCAACAAAATGTTCAATTCTCATTACACACCTGTTTTAACATACTTGTACTATTTGTTTTTATTTTACTTTATCTTGATTTAAATCCCAGCTATTCCGTTTTTGAAGGGGTTTTGTGTGTTCTTTGGAGTTTTTTGTTCATATTAATTCCAGATTTATTTTAAATATGATCGTGTGCATCCCAAGTAAAATACATTATATATATTACAATCATTATTACAAGCCACGAACATTAAAGGCCCGATAAATGATTGCGATCGTTATAGACGATAGATTATATATATATATATATATATATATATATATATATATATATATATATATATATATATATATATATATATATATATATATATATACACACACACACACACACACACACACACACACACACACACAGATATATGGGAATCTGTATGTTCATAGCAAAGCACAAGTATCAATTACAATAGAATAGAATAGAATAGAAGTCTACTTTCTGCACAACTCCGATGAGATAAAAGTGCAGCAGAACCACTTTTCTCTTTCGTGCCAAATTGTTAAATAACAGCAAAGCACCTTCATTATTTTAATGGACTGTAAAGTTTTATATTTGACCGTTTACAAGACATTTATAGCGCAATAAAAGTCACACACACTTACTTACTTACTTAGGCCACATTCTCACACACACACACACACACACACACACACACACACACACACACACACACACACACACACGCACTCACACGCGCACAAACACTTGCGTACCGCCGCCTCTTAAAGGCTAATAAACATCCCGGTGTGTGTCTCTTTACCCGGGTCGATCTTGTTTTTGCGCTCCTCTTCCCCCTTTTGGGGCTCCGGCTTCCTCTCCGGCTCCTCCGCGGCGCCGAGCCGCTCTAGGACCGCCTCGGTCGGGCTGTCGAAGCTGGAACCCCCGGGGCTGTCCCGGGGTGGCGGCGGCGGCGGTGGCGGCGACCCCTCCGGTTTTACCGCTTCGTACCTCGGGCTCGGATCGGAGAGGTCACCGGTGGCGGGGACGCGCCCGGTAAAGCCCACCGAGGCGTGTGACAGGGAAGCGTCCGAGGGGGGAGCCGCCCCCTCCCAGCAGCGGACGAACCTGCCGTCGGAGGCGAGGTGCTCTGCCTGCGGGCCGTAGTACGGGTGGTGCTGGTGGTGGTGGTGGTGGTGTTGGTGGTGGTGGCTCAGGAAGTGGTGCGGGGGGAAAAGGCCGCCGGGGGCAGACTGCAGCCTCGGGGAGGACGGCGGGGAGGACGCGGGGGTGTTCGCCCAGGGAGAGAAGCCGCTCAGGCCCGACTGTTTTGTTGGGAAAATGGGAGAAATCCGGAATGCGCGCGCCGGGGGTCCCGTCCTGCTCCTCCGCCTCCTCCGCTCTGCGGGCCGACTTGGCGCAGCCGGCCGCCGAGCCCTGCAAGCCTCCCGGGAGGAAATGTGCCCCGTACGGCTCCTCGGCCTGCAGCCCCATCATGGAATAATAATTCGTCAGCGACATGTTTATTTTATGATTTCAATAAAAAGACACTTAAGTGCGACTGTAAAACGTTGGATGGGGCCGGTATAGTGGCTCACATCCTCCCCTAAAATGGTAGTGGGTTTGTTCCTTGCCCGTAGCTTCTTCTCGGCTGCCCATTGGTTACCACGCGAATCACGTGGTTCGGCTGGCGCTGGAAATCAATCTCTTTATTCTCTTCTAGTCAGAAACGGAACCGCGGGCCCCAGCAGCCGGGCCGCACATGGGCCTGGATGTGGCACGCATAGGCCAAGCTCTTAAAACGCGTTTTGCAGGCAGAATAAAGAGCAGCGGGGACTCGAGGTGCGTGTAAATGCGCGCGTGAGGTTCTGGGCTTTAGTTTGGCTTTTCTGCACAAACCACAATGCAAAACAAAAGCTCGTAATTAGAGACTAACTCGCCTCTTTATCGCCTCAAAGTTAACGGACAGCTGGTTTTGATTTGGGCGTTTTCTTAACTCTGCTAATGTGGAAATAATGTTAATTTTATTACAGGCGCAAAGTGAGCTTTTCTATGACTTCTTTTCTTTAATTGGAGTTTCAGCAACCTGCTATCTGATTCTTTAAAGCTGCTATTTGCAACCATTTACTGTATTCCTTACTGTTACCTGCGTCATGGCTTTTATAGACCTTCGTCCAATGAACTTCTGTGAACAGAAGCCAGTTTCTCATTGGCGGTGTGGCGGCGTCACAACACGAGCTGCTGCAAATGTGCCAACGGAGACCTTGATCGCTGCCTCTCGTTTACCTGTAGCGCCATCTGCTGGCCGCGTGAGTTCAAACGGTGTGCGCGCAGGAGGGAGTCCGACGATTCTTTACATCTTTTTAAAATAAGTTATTATTCAACATGTCTACTGGTTCCAGTAACGAAACGAAGGAACAACGTGAACCCGCGGGAATCATTTGATTTAGATGGACCTCTGAGGACTGAGGGCACGAGGGACTGAGTGAAGAACTATCTATTAGTATAGATTCTATATGTATTCTATTCTATATGTATACATCTATACATAGATGTATCTATACATCTATGTCTAGATCTATCTCTTTATCTATCCATCTATCTATACATCTATGTATCTATACATCTATATATTTATCTATCCATCCATCTATACATCTATGTATCTATAGATCTATGTCTAGATCTATCTATTTATCTATCCATCTATCTATCCATCTATGTATCTATAGATCTATGTCTAGATCTATCTCTTTATCTATCCATCTATCTATACATCTATGTATCTATACATCTATATATTTATCTATCCATCCATCTATACATCTATGTATCTATAGATCTATGTCTAGATCTATCTATTTATCTATCCATCTATCTATCCATCTATGTCTAGATCTATCTATTTATCTATCCATCTATCTATCCATCTATGTATCTATAGATCTATGTCTAGAACTATCTATTTATCTATCCATACATCTATAGATCTATGTCTAGATCTATCTATTTATCTATCCATTTATCTATAGATCTATGTCTAGATCTATCTATTTATCTATCCATACATCTATAGATCTATGTATCTATACATCTATCTCTAGATCTATCTATCTGTAAATCTATCTATCCATCTATCTATACATCTATTTATCTATACATCTATGTACATCTATGTACCTATAGATCTATCTCTTTCCACCGTTTCCTCCTTCCAACAATGCTCATGTTGAATACATCGTCTACATTTTGCACTACCAATTTCTGTTTCAAGGCCTTCTTTTCTTGAATGTGTTTACTTCACTACATCATCCATTATTTAACATTGTATACAGTAAGATTGTTGCAGCCCCCTGCTGGGCAACGACACGTTTGGAACCGACCTGTGATGGTCGGGTACAAATAGAAAAGTGTTTGGAACTAAAGGCATTCAACCAATGACCTACAATAAACCCAAACACAATCTCTCCTTTCATCTCCTTGTCTTTCTTTTTACCACTCTCTTAGACACACACACACACACACACACACAGACGCACTCTCACTCAGACTGAGTGAATGCTTGAGACAAAGAGAGGGAAGGAGAGGGACGGCAGACGGGCCGTATTGCCCCAATAAAAGCCTTTAAGTGGAGGAAGCGGTGGTGGCGACGGCGTGGTTGTGTTGTGTTGTGTTGTGTTGCGGTTCAAGGTTCAGTTGCAGCCTTGGACTCACTGTGTGTTTCCGCCGTCTTTCACTCACACGTCGCATCGGTGTTACCGGGGCAGCAATTAACTACTGAAGGATCTGCTCTTTTAGTGCCTTGTGTTACCAGTTGGGGCATCGCGCATCTAGAATGTGAGCCTGGTCGCTTGAGCTCCTGAATCCTTTTACGTTCGTGCAGAAGTGATGACACATGGTCACTTGTTTAATTGTGCTGTAAAATACATTTGGATTCCATCCTGAAGCATCACAGTCATAGTCGTGTCCATTGTGCAGCTCTTCTCTGATTTCACAAAGCATACAAAGCAATTTGGAAAGTCTCAAACTAACCTCTAAAAAGCAGAATTTAAAACTATGAAATCGCATCACAAAACCTAATTCTGGATTAAGGATTACTCACTAGTTCCTCCAACACAACACAAACAAACGGTTCCGCTGATCAAGATGTGTTCAAGTATAAAACATATGACCCTTAAATGTGGCAATAAACGCAAGGAAACACACTTGGAACAAAAGAAAGGAATAAAATGACGGCTTGTTTATTGTCACTGTCACATTTAAGTCATCAAAGTAAAAGTAAAATAACTCAACTTATATTGCTTTATTCATTAAGTCCGTTTCATTGGTATTTAGACTATAAATACCCACATAAACATGAGAAGCAGGTAACAGAATAATGACGTATTGTCTTTGCTTGACTAAAATAAAACGTTAAACTCAATTTAAACGTGGTATACGTGTGGTCATTAATGACCTTTTTAATCACAAATCTTACATGAACACAAAGAGTATTTGTTATTGAAAAATCGATCCAGACAGAAGAAGAGACGCGTCGTCAGATTGTCAGCAGTGCAGGTCGACATTAAAACACGAAGCACTGAAATGTGAAATGACGGGACGCACAGACGAGCTCCGTGTGCGCTTTGCTTCTTCTACATGACGAGTGTTGGTCTGCGGTGCCTTTAGGCTCCGAGGCAGAGAGACGCTTCATTCCTTAGAAGTGTGACTTCAGAGAGAAGGCCGGATGAAAGGAGGCCGGGTGGGGGGAGGGGGGGGGGGGTGCTCAGGGTTTTCTTCTTAATTCACAAAAGAAGATTCATTGGTGGTCTTGAAAACTGAACTTGAATAATCTACGTATTTGTAACTTTTCTACATGGCTCAATTGAGGCGCTGCACTACTTTTTATAATACACCAGTTCATTTTGAGGTCTGGGACTATTTCCATACATCCAAAATAAACATTTACTTTGCCACCGTAGATAGATAGATATATATATATATATATGTGTGTATTTGTCAGAAAACATGTAGTACAATAAATAATCACCCTAATGTAATGAACTGAAGTTTCATATCTCTAATTATTGGACTTTCTTCACCTGAAGTGTCTTCAACATGTCGGACTACTTCTGCTCAAAATGAGTTTCTTCTCAAAAATGGATTTTTGTCGCATTGCTGCTGAGGATATTTCTGATTCAAAGAGAAAATCTTTCAAAAAGAACGTTTGACTGTGAAATATCAACAAAATAAAAAACTGTTTTTTGATCCAGATTAATCCAATGATCAGATTTCTGTTGTGGAGCGTGGAAATAGATTATAAGCACACGGTCAGGAAAACAAAGGCATATTCAACATTTTCAACATTACTGTTTGTAATTGTAGACTTAATTCCTTTTCTTCTACATCACAGGAAGCAGTTTGTGCGCCGTTCTTTCTCCCTCATCAGAACATGCGATATCTTGTGTGATACAGCAAACTCTCACTTTTCAGCTTCTTCTCTTTAATTCTTCTGTTCTGGAACCATATTTTCACCTGTCTGGATCCGCAAAGGAAAAGAAAAGAAACAAGTTTGATTTATTTGTGCTGGAGGAGATGTTAGAATTAAAGCAACATATGAGGCGGGACATTCTCAACAGTCCAAAAGAATGTGTCCTTCTTCATGGGGTTTAAGCAGATCCTTCACATGTAAATCTGTGAATTGTGAATCAGAAAAGACAGATTCCCAATTAAATAAATAGTGCAACGTGCACTCACCGCTCAGTCAGGCACACACGGCTGGACAGCTGCAAGCGTCTGCCTTTGTTGATGTAGATGTTGAATAGAAACTCTCGCTCCAGCTCTCTGATCTGCTGCTTGGAGTAAGGACATCGCTTCTTCCTCCTCGCACGGCGTTCTGCTGGAGAATGCATATGGGCAAGAGAGAGAAGGCATAGAGCCATGAGGGAGGAAAGAGAGAGAATGCATATAGGCAAGAGAGAGAAGGCATAGAGCCATGAGGGAGGAAAGAGAGAGAATGCATATAGGCAAGAGAGAGAAGGCATAGAGCCATGAGGGAGGAAAGAGAGAGAATGCATATAGGCAAGAGAGAGAAGGCATAGAGCCATGAGGGAGGAAAGAGAGAGAATGCATATAGGCAAGAGAGAGAATGCATAGAGGCAAGAGGGAGGAAAGAGAGAGAATGCATAGAGGCAAGAGGGAGGAAAGAGAGAGAATGCGTAAGAGGGAGAAGGCATAAAGGCCAAAGTAAACAGGGCTATAATGAACAAATATGACTGAAGTGAGGGAGCAGTTAGGAACAAAGTCAGCAAAAACAGAAAAGGCCAATTCTGCTGAGGCCCAAGTGTGTGATTTTACAATATTAACGTAATGCCAAACCTTTGTGAATGATGGAACTTTGGAGTTTTGTGTAAAACTGTTGGAGATTAATTTATCTGAAATTACTTTTCATTATTAATTAAAGGTGAATGTCAAGGTCTCAGTCAAAACAGTGAGTTCAAGACGTTAAAATTACTTATACCTTTTACGTCCATGGCAAATTATGTTGTCTGCATTTGCACAATTCAGTCAAGTCAAATTTAGGTTTAGCCAATGTGACTGTACCTGACTGTATCTCAGGGGCAAGGATTGCCAACACATGAGAGATTATTGGTTATTTATATATATATATATATATATATATATATATATATACGTATGCACATAAATAATCACATTTATCAGCGTATCTAAAATGAGAGAAAGTAACCTTTTTAAACATATAAACATTGAACACAGTGTGCACAATTTGATTTGAGAGGGGTTATATTCTTATATTGGGTCCATTAAATACATTCAGGTGTTGGAACGTAAAGTAAAAAACAAGTACAATATAAAATTATTGGGTCCACTTTTTGTGTTATTGTTAATATAATTAATCCAATTATTTTGATAAGATCAACCTGATCGAATATTACATTTAATTAAAACATGATATCAGCATAATAGCCAATGAATAATTAACTAAATAAGAGTGAACTGTTTGACAAAATGTCCATAATCTAATGGCTGTATTCTTGGCCGCCGCCGTTCGGGCCTTTTCTGGTTTTTCAACATTTTTATTCAGTTTAGCCATAAATAGCTGTATTCAAGAGCAAGGAAGGAGTAGGTAAAAATAAACATTTTAATCCCTATATATGCATCCTCGTGTTGCGATTTAAACACCTATGTGTTACTTCCACTCACCCGGGGAAGAGTCTCCTCCACTGCCGCTGGATGACGGCGCGTCCTCCTCGTCCTCCTTCCCGGCCCGGGGCGACTGCGGCCCCGCCCTCACCTTGCTGCTCTCCCCGGGCTGACAGCTCGCCCGCTGGGCCCGATTCGCCTCTGTCTGCCGTTGGCTCCCGGCTGTGCTCGCTCTCGCCTTCACTCTCTCATCGGCGCGCTCGAAAAAACGGTCGAAAACCGGCGGCAGGACCCCGTTGAGTCCCGCCGGGAAACGGAGCTCTGGGCCGCGGTTGAACGCCGGGTAACCGCCGGGGGAAATCCGCGGGCCTCCGGCAAACGCCGGTGCGTGATAACCCGGACCGGAGGGGCCGTAGACCACCCCGCCGTACACGTAGTCCTGGCCGGTGTCGGGCGTCGTGTCGGCAGAGCACCGTGACTCGCGGTGCTCGTGGTGAACGGCGTCGCCCGGAAAACTGACGCGCGCCGGCGGCGGCGGCGAGGTGATGGGGCGGCCCGCCGGGTGGAGACTCCATTCCCACGGAGGAGGATACCGCTGCCGCGGCTCCGGGTGACAGCAGCCCCGGTAGTCCGAGAACCGTCCCGCCGAAGCGGCGCTGCGGTCCGGCAGAGCGGCGCCGTTCTCCGTTAAAAACGGCGGGGCGATGGGGCCCAGGTCGGAATTTGGCGGATAGGTGCAGCTTGGTAAATACATGGAGGATTTAGATGAGTTGAAACCCTCTTAACAGGGTGCTGTTTGTCCTACACAAACGCTGAAAAACGTCTACCCCTTATTCCACGTGGGGGAACAATAATCTTAACATCTGTGCATCGTGACCCAAGGCCCGGAGGTTAAATACACTCTGGATTATTCTATCAATAAAAAAGTATATTTCCACATATCTTCATTCCATTGAAACCATATCATTTAGGGTGCTGAGGGAAGCTGGTCTTTGACCTTGAAGCGGGTCTGCTTCTTTGTGGCCTCATTGTCAGGAGACCTCTTGGGTATTTCTCTACTTGTAAAACTCCACCCCGGTGTTCAGAGCAAACGTTCACAGGACCACAGACGAGTCACGAAGCGGTACTCAAAAGACCCAGTTTGGACATTTAAGAGGCAAACTTTAGAGCCCTTTAAAAGTTTTTATTTTGTACTGTGTGACGACCCCGTCCTGTTTCCTGAGACCAAAACACACAATCAAATAGAGGTGATGCTGATTGGTGAAGATAAGATCCGATGAGCCTTTGTTAGTTCATTGGGACATTTACAGGAAAGTGCCAACAACAACCAACAAAAGAGCATTTCATTTAAAGAGTAGTCAGGTATTCTACAGAGTTGTCAACGGCAATGACTTCAAGGTACTTTAGCATTTAATTACATCTTTGAAGGGGAAATGTTTATTTTACTGACAACCTTTTCATAAAGCTGCCTTGCTGCCAGCTGTGTCACACGAGTCTTCAACCTCTTTTCAACTTGAGCGTTTGCTGCCCAAAACATTAAAAATGATTTTCATCCTCGTGAGAAATGTTGCATAACTATAAAACTAATATGTCATGTCAGCATTCGCACTCCCCTTCAACTTAATGTTTTACTTTTTTTGTGTGATGATTATCAAAAAACTCATTTTTTGTCTTATTTTCTAATATATGCAACACTTCAATGAAGGCTGAAGCTACAACTTCCGACGTTAGTCCCACATGAATCCGATATTTGAAAATATATATAAGGAAGTATCATCAGTTTGGTTTGATAGCAACCTGTAGCAGTTCATTGATGCTATAGATTAGTTACAGTATGTAGTTTTTGGTGGCCCATCCGCCTCAATCGATAACTCTGTTCCAGAAATACTACCAATAGTACCAACATGCTGGTAAAGACGATGTTAAAGAGATGTTACTTCTAGGTTCTGTACTGCGCGAGACTCTGGAGACAGAAGGCGACCACAGACGGAGGGCGAGGTAACGCTTCTGTCGGCTCTCTGAAGGTTTGGAAAATAGAAAACAATTTATCGTCTGTTTTTTTCACGCGAGAGGCAGAAAAGAACCTCTTTTGTTGGCGTGTTCCAGACCGGCAATTTGAAAGGCTCCTTTAAAACATGTCACCTCCTGAAAGCACACATGAAAACACATGCAGGCCCATTAAAAGGTGCACCAGTTACTCAATAGTGACTCTGATTCAAGGTTAAATAAATGGAAATAAAAGGCTGTGTGTCGGCGCACTGCTGGCTTCAGAAAACAACCGCCGTAAAATATCCTGATTAAGGACAACAGGAACAAACGCTTTTATAGCGACAAACGAAGAAAAGGTGCAGACTCTGCGTATAGACGTAAATCACATCCTGGAGGGGCCTTATGAGTTTGTTCACACCAATGTCATGAAATCTAATGCAAATGGTCAGCAGGTACGTGGTGGCTGACGTCATCACTTTCTGGAGTTTCTTGCCGTAGTTTGTTGAATCTTGAACTTTCACACTGCCGCGTTTTACAAAGACGATTAATGGCGTTAATGTGATTAATAACGCACAGAAAGAAAGATTGGGATGTCTTTTTTACACATTATGTTAAAGATGAATTTCATCGGCTGTGTTTGCTGGACATCGTTCCTCGACAATTTCCCAACAGAGGCTCGGGTGTCTCAGCAGGTGTCTCTGCAGGTGGGCTGCGTGAGACGTCCCAGGATGCACGTTTGGGCCTTTTCTCCCGCCCCAGAGGTGATATCTGATGCTTCTCTCACCAAGAGGTCTGAGCAATGCACGTTGAAGCGCGACTATGTGCTTTCTATGACAGCGGAGAGGTTTTGGATTCTGCTCCTCACACATTTGGGTGATGTTTACACGGCTGTGGTGAACTTTTCTGTGAATATGTGCATTTTTAAATCTTCAACAATAAGCAGAAATTGGAACCCCTTTGGTCTAAAGTAATATAAAAACTTAAAGGTGAATGCAGATTGCATTTAGCATTTTTACTATTTACTGCTCGACATTTAAAGAGAAAGTCAATAGGAAGAAAAAAACTAACCAGTTGAACTCTTTTTGTGAAATATTATTATCCCAAACGAACCAAACGAAGATCATTAGTTTAAGTCACGTGTGTCGCCATCATGAACTGATGCTATTCGAGTATTGATTAATAAATATGATGTTGACCATGTATGTGGCACCTACGGTCTCATTCATATTTAAACCATTTGAAATATCGAAAAGGGATAAAATAAATGAATATGTTAAATAAAGTCAAAAGGACCCCCTCGAGTCTCACGGCAGCGTTAAAGTGTGAAGTGGATCCATCGTCACCTTATTTCCACATATAAAAAGGAGTAAAAGTTCTGACTGCACCGAGGGACTTTCCAAGGGCTTTCTGTCTGCTGGTTGGGTTTGCGTGTGCAGTCAATCTTGCACATTCAAAGAAACTTAAACACATTTAAGGTGTTCCAAGTTTTCTTGGAGCTGGACTGTTCAAACCTTTGACCCTTGGAAAAAAAGGGGATTGTTGTTACTGTTAGAACTCTCCAATGTGGTTACTGTTTGTTCAATGCATTTTAATTATATTTTTAAGATTCACATTGAGAAGTTTAGGTTTGGCTCTTTCCTGGAGTTCAGTTTTAGTGCTGCTATCTAGTGTCATTGCTGCTTTATTTGTGTTGTTCAAATGTATATAAACCATGCTCATTTAATGCAGCTTTTACTGTATGTATTTATAGAAATTTTCACAAATAAAGTTTAACCTGCTGTACTTATGTATGATGATGTGTTTGTTAAGTTTACTGTTACACAAAAATGTATTGAGTGAATTAGACATAGAAAAATTGTGGCAACAAAGTGACACGTAATTGTATTGAATAGATTTAAACAATTCATTTAAGTCCAGAAGGTGTTGTATGTGTTGAATTAACTAACAATGTGCTAAAATGTGAGTTGATATAACTTATTTTATTCAGTAAATCAAATTTTATTTTACCAAGATTAGTAGTATATAACACTCAATTTCACTTTCCACCCAATTCCACCCAAATATTCAGTTACTGTAAATCAATTACACCAGAATATTAAGTAAATATAAATCAATTCCACCCAAATATTCAGTTTCTGTAAATCAATTACATCAGAATATTAAGTAAATATAAATCAATTCCACACAAATATTCAGTAATTGCTAATCAATTACACCTGAATATGAAGTAAATATGAATCAATTCCACCCAAATATTCAGTTACTGTAAATCAATTACACCAGAATATTAAGTAAATATAAATCAATTCCACCCAAATATTCAGTAACGAAATCAATTCCATCCAAATATTCAGTAACTGCTAATCAGTTACACCCAAATATAAAGTAACTGTAAATCAATTTCAATTAAATATTCAGTAAATGTAAATCATATTCACCCAAGTATTTAGTAATTACAAATAAATTTCACCCAAAAATTAAGTAAATATAAATTTATTATGATGATTTTCTTAGTAGACATGAATCATTTTTCCTTGTAAAAATATTTACAACACACGTTTCCAGCGGCGATCGAACGCGGTGATACGGAGCGCGCAGAAAGCATCCGCCCTGACGGAGGCGTATCGTGGATGAGAGGACATTTGTTCCCAGCAGGTGTCTCTTTTTCGGTGCCAGACAACACACTGACGGCCAGTCCAATAAAGGACTGCAGTTCAGCGCCAAACCGAAGTGTATTTGGACCATTTAACTTCAGCTGCGGAACGAAACCTGCCGGTACAGTTCGATACGCACCGTGCAGGCGGGGCCTTCTGGGCCTTCTCAGAATCACCGGGCTTTTTACCAATAATACACATGACCGTCAAGACAATTAGATAAGATAGGCCTCCTTTGCTTGTATATGAAGGCTTGACTGTCACTTTGGCAAAATCCATTTGTCGAAGGCCACCACACACACACACACACACACACACACACACACACACACACACACACACACACAAACACACACACAGGCCTGTATTGTGAAAGAGTTGTAAAATTATTAGAAAAAAATCCCCCGTGCTCATTTTTTTAAATCTTCGAAACAGGTTAATGAAACGCAAATAATAATATCCGCAAGAAGATTGATCATCAGTTATACTACACATGATGTGTTTGTGTGGGCGAGAAAGATGGATATGGGGAGAGGAGGAGGGGGACGGCGGGGGGAGTTTTATTAGGCTCATAACTCTTCGGTTTCCAGATGAAGCATTGAGCATCAAACTGAAGGCCAAATCTGCACTGCTGCCTAATCTGAAACAGCTCAACTGAGAAAATGACGCTGAATGTTCGAGAGATTCTGCGTCTTCGAATCCGTTTCACTGCAAACACGAAGAAATGCGTGTTTGAGGGTTTGAGCGGGTTTGAATAAGTAACTTAAAGAAATAACTACAAGATGATTAACCATAAACCTGCGGTTTTACCTGAACCACGTGGTTTGTAACAGTGGCTGGTTAACTGGAAAGGGAAATATGATGTTGAATTATTACATTGAAGATTATTTTGCATATAATTTTTTTTGATAAAACATACACGGTGACATGCATTACAATGGCAATACTAACCATTGCCTCTTTAGTATACGATGCTATATGGTCACAGCGAAGTGACAAACTATCTCAAAAAAATGTATTCTCCGCCCCATCAATCAACTCGCATAGAATGATGCATTGAATTAAGAAAGCCCAAGTGAAATAATACAATCTGTGCGACACCTAGTGGTCAGAAAAGTGACTTGCGATAAAGGTGATTTTTGAGGCAGTCTTCATTACTTGCTGAGACGTTCACACTGCAAGTAATTGCTGTTAAAGTCAGGACACTGAAATTAATTATTCTCCAAAAACTACACATGAAGAAATTAAGAAACATTGCAGGTTCATTTGTTTCTTATTAATTAATTAATTTTATGTTACATTTTTAAGAAATAGTTTCTTTAAATGTTACGTAGTCCTTAATTTAAAAAAACCCGATTTATTTAAAAACTGCAACTGTAACGTATAAAGTATTCTGATTTTCTAAATATGTGTTTCCAATGAATTAATAGATTTCACTGACAAATCTGTCATGTAGCAGTTCTTAAAGTCATCGAAGGGCCTTTTGATGAACCTTTTGATCTGAGGACGAGACAGAACTTACGTTCCAACGTAATAATCAATCAGTCACTGATCCCTGTCGACGTCGTGCGTTACGTCCTGACGTCATCACGTCCTCACGCACCGCCAACTCACGCTTGCCTCCTCAATATTGACCGCTTAGCCGGCTAGCATAAACACCAACCAACGTAAGTATTCATTCAACTTCGAGACACATTCAACATAAATCACTTTAAAGACATGTAGTTGCTCTGGACGATGCTATTCTGCTATTGTTACACCAGCTAAAAGCTATGTTGGCATATGCTAATGTTAGCTAACAGTAGCGAGTCGCTACTCTTGCTAGCAGCGGTGTTCTGGTGCTGCAGCTCCATCAACGTAATTATAATAACTTGACGTCACAGTTTAGCCTAATTGATAATTGTCTCATGTGAAAACGACAATGCTGAATAACGCATTTGCTTGTAAACAGAAGTGACGCGATATAGTAAAGAGAAGACCGTTATCGTTGCAGGAACAATGTAATGTTACGTTATGTCTGGTGACCACTGTGGAGCTGCAGGTAGCTGAAGTCTGTTACCATCTAAAAGCCAAGAGAGACCTTACAGTTAGAGGTCTGCACTTTTATTAAACCGTAAAGTAATCATTTTGTAGACGAGTGTAAACCACAACAGCTTGACTGGCAGTTCTCAGGGTGACGTGACGTAACGTTAGTTATGCAGTTTATTCTGTGTGGACGTTATGAAATACACTGCACGCTGTTTCCCTTTGTCTGTTCTCCTGCTGGAATGACACCTGAGCGCTTGGTGGGTAAAGTAGCCTGTCAGTGTTGAATATATATGACAGAATAGGTTATTTGCTGTAATCCACGTCTGGTAAATCACACGAGGAGCCACATATTTTAACAAGCCATTAGCGTGAACAGTTTTTCTGTAAGCAGCTTGCTAAATCCTGTGAGCGTGTAAGTGATTAATGCCAGAGAATGGTAAATGGTAAATGGCCTGTACTTGTATAGCGCTTTTCTAGTCTTCTGACCGCTCAAAGCGCTTTAACACTACATGACATCATTCACCCATTCACACCCATTCATACGCCGATGACAAGAGAACCATACACAGTGACACCTGCCATCAGTAACTAACATTCACACACTGTAGTCGCAGCTACAGGAGCAATGTTGGGTTAAGTGTCTTGCCCAAGGACACATCAACATGCGGGTTAGGCGGGCCTGGGATCGAACCGACAACCCTCTGATTGGAGGACGACCGTGCTCCCCACTCACCCACAGAATGTGGCTTACATGTGGTGTTTATCATGCACAGCATACATTGTCTAACTGTTGCCCGGACGACGTTTTAACAGAGACTTTCTGTTCCAAAGGAATCTGTGGTTCAGACATGGGGGCCCTGATATCCCGATGGAAGGTGAGTGGATGAGGGAAATGTTTCCCAAACGTTTCAGCCTAAAGTACAAATCAAGAAAGCAAAATGAAGTAGTTAACATGGCATGATATAAATAAAAAGCCCAATAAAACACACAATTGTTATACAATTATGAGACTAATACAGTTTCATCCCATCTTAATGAAGTCCTTTTTTTTTTAAAGAAGAGCAAAATAAATTTTGGCTGGAGCTTTTCAGGGTGGACATTTCTTGGCCTGCTTTTCATTACGTCATTTTAGGAAGGATGATAATTATCATGGGTCCAAGTTACGCAGTAGTTCAGCCAGTGTTCATGAATACACAGGCAACAGTTGTAAAATAGGTGAAGGCATTAAGACGGACTCTTTGCTCTTGTTCTTCTCAGTGTTTGAACAATATAGTTAGTAGACTTTACAAGCCTTGAAGAGTGAGACCAAAACATACGTTTCCAACACTGAATCATAGCTGAAGGTTTCTGGTGTTCCACTCTTGGGATGACAGAGTTTGAGGTCATTTGGTTGCGTTAATCTTCAACACAGTAAACGCTTCAACCGAGTGAGTTCATACTCGTGTGCTATTTTTAGACGTGCTGCAGATGTCAAAGGGAAAGGAAGGGAGACGGTGTGAGCGGGGAGGAAAAGAACGTGCTGCCCTCGGTTCTTGAATGCGTTCAGTTTCAGAAAGAGAGTAATAAGTATGATCAGAGGAATTCACAGATGAGGAGAGTTGTGAAACTACAGGTTATTTTAATTCCATTCAGCCAAGATCAGCCCCCTTGATTACTTACAAGTACATGTGTGGTTCATTACTCGCCACATCAATCAGTGCTGAATCCGTTGTCTGTGAGCAACGCTAATACTTTGTCTGTTGTTTCCTCCCAATTGTGATTTTCTGATCGTCGTCCTTAATCCAGACAAAGCCAACCACGGTGGAGCAGCTGGAGAACATTGACAAGGTAGTGCGTCTTTTTCTATAGATATCAGTGAAGTGCTGCATGCAGGCCCAGTTTGCATTTTAGTCTCCCATAATGAAGACGTACAGTCAGACAACCAGTCAAGGGGCTTCCTCAGAAGCAGGATTATTGATGTAGGGGATGGTTTAACTGAGCGTGAGGCAGCAATGTCCTCCATCCTGCTTCATGGGAAAGGTCACTATTTTTACTTAAGCTGGCGGTTTGTTTTCTATCAACCTGAAACTCATTTTTGAGCATCGCAAATGAAGCCGTAGAACAAATGTGACATAACCTTAACCTTCACGGTTTCCTTGCAGGAGATCAAAGAGCTGGAGGAGTTCAGGGCCAAAAACCAACGTCTGCAAAAGGTAGAGTGAGCGCAACATCCCAGATGTGCAGAGGTATGCTTGAGCTGCAGCTTCTTCTCTCTCACCGTGTGTGTGTGCGCGCGTGCGTGTGTGTGTGTGTGTGTGTGTGTGCGTGCAGCTGTGGGTCGGCCGGTTGCTCCTCTACTCGTCAGTCTTGTACCTGCTGACCTCACTGGTGGTGTACTGTCTCTACCTACCTGAACAATGGATGCAGAGACTAGCCATGGCTCTGCCGTTCTTCACATTCCCCGTGCTGTAAGTGCTCACGTTGTTTCAGAACATTCTTCAAACTAGTATTACTTAAATACCTTGTTCCTTTCGTTCAGAACCCGTACAGGGTGCAAAGTGACTTCATGTTAGGCTCCTCTTCTTCTCCCTCGTCTCCAGGGTTTGGTTTGTCAGGAAGTTCTTTTTCTATCTCTTTTCCAAACGCACTGAGAGAAACAGTAAGTGGTCCATCGCTCCATCCAGGTAACACGTGACACATGATCTGCTTCAGGGTTCTATTCATTTTATGACACTGAGCATTTATCCTGAATTTTCTTAAATTGTTCTTGTTGCATGCTTAAACTCACAACACTATTATTGTTTTGTTTAACTCTCATGCATTCTTAACAATTGTAAACCATTCTGCTGTTTTCACTGGATTAAAGTGATTACATTTTCTGCTCTTTTTTTTTTTTTAGATGATAAATTGGAAGATTTAAAGGTTTCCAAAAAAAAGATTGTAAGTCCCAAATTTCTCCCACTCAGCATTTGGAATATGTGGCTTTTACTGTTTTTTTAAAGATAGTTTGAATGTGAGGTGGTGAGGGGTTCATTTTTGCAAAGTAGTATTCATTTGGAGCTAACAATACATGTTTCTGCGTTGCCTCCTTATGTTTCATTATTTCGTTAATAATTCCCTTCACATCATTTGGGTTTTGTTATCTAAAAAATGAGGACTACTCCCCAAGTGTATCTCCTCGGGCTGGTTTGTGTTTTAGCTAACAAACCCCTACTTCAGTGCTAAAATACCAGTTTCCCTTTTGTGTGCTTCCAGCTGGAGGAAGTGATGGAAACGGAGACGTACAAAAACGCCAAACTCATCCTGGAACGCTTCGATCCCGACGCAAAGAGGAAAGCTGTGAGTGCCTTTTTGTGTCTAGTTTTCTCCTCCAGTGTTTGTTGGGGTTGTTTAGGTGTACTTTAGTTGTTTGCTGTCAAAATGCAGGAGCTGGAGTCGACTCCGGTGCGTCCTCCGATGACTCCCCGGCCGGGACAAGGTACGACCCCCATCAACGCACCAGAAAGCGCATCGCTTTTACAGTTTGCGTGAGGTTTTGATGGAGCCGATTCCTCTCCTCCGCGCAGAGATCCGACAGAGAGGAATGCCGATGAGACCCGTGCCGATGGGCACGCCGGGGCCAATGACAATGAGCCCCGCCCCCGGAGCCCTGCCCCCGCTGGGACCAGGGGGCACACCTGTGGGTAAGGGGGCACACCGAGGTACTGCACCTCATGTGTGATGGCGCATCGCAGTTTGCATGTGTGTCACCTTGGATGCTGGTGAGGTGACGAGTGAGAGCTGGTCAGTGGTGCTTCCCCCCCCCGAGGAGCCCCCCGGGCCTCGGTGCAGATCGTCAAAGACCACCGAAGGCAGCGGAAAGCCCAGCGGCCTTATGACGTAGTTGTTTTGGACAATGCCGTTGCGTCTGTCCCGTGTTGCTCTCCCTACAGCACATGTCCCTCTCTCAGCTCCAGGAGGACCGCCGGAGAGATCTGCGCTGTCGGCCTCCGTCCTGCAGGGGGCGATGCCCAGGACCCCCTGCTCCCCCATCCCAGGAGTAGGTAGGTTGTAAAGCCCGTCGCTGCATCTTGTCATGAATGTGTGCTTGAGATAAGCAACATCTTCACATTGTTGAAATGTAAAACTTTGAATCCATGTTAAAAAGTTCTATGATGTTTTTGGATTTACAAAATATCTCCACTTTCTTCTGTGTGTGTGTGTGTGTGTGTGTGTGTGTATTAATTTCCATCTGTATTTATAAAGGCATGCACCCACCAGGTCCTCCATTAGCAAGACCCATCCTGCCCAAAGACAGGGGGGCCGTGGACCGAGTCATTGAATACCTGGTGGGGGACGGACCACAGAACAGGTAAAGAGCCTTCTGTTCGATGTAAAACCCAAACTCGTAATATCCTTTGTCCGTCTGCAGATTCACACATGGGAGTTCATTCATTGTCACACCTCCTCTACCTGCACAAAGCCGCCTTGCCCAAACGATGGGGAAGTAATGGTGGCAGAATGACGCATGTGGATAGAAGCAGCAACACAAACCGCATAAAGCTGCTGCTGTAACACTCGTTGCCGGGATGTGATGCTATCACAATTTCTCCTTGTGTCCTTCATCTCGGGCCCGAAACTCTTTGAATGCTGCACAATGCAAAAGTATTTCCTGTCCCTCCTCCCGTCCTACAGATACGCTCTGGTCTGCCAGCAGTGTTTTTCTCACAACGGCATGGCCCTTAAGGAAGAGTTTGAATATCTCGGTAAGAACACAACCTCTCCAATACAGTTATTGAGGAGGACTCAATTAAGAGGGATCACTATATAGATTATTATCTCCTCAGCGTTCCGTTGTGCGTACTGCTACCTGCTGAATCCGGCCAGGAAGACGCGCCCTCAGGCTCCCAGGCTCCCGGAGTTCAGCTACGAGAGGAGGCTGCGCGCAGAGTCCCGCTCCCCCGGGCCGGCGCCGCGTTCCGGGACGGACACGGAGGAGAGTGCGCCCCCCTCTGGAGGTACTGAAAAACAAACAGAGGCACAGACGAGCAGCCGGCAGGGCCAGGTCCTCTCCCCGTCCCCTGAATGTCACTGACTCCACGTCCTAACCGCTGGTGTTTAAGGCTTCGTAGAGCAGCGCTCTCATGAGTTTGTGTTTGATTCTTCTGCCAGCGCTAATGATGTCAGCTTCTACCCTTTATTTAGCTCGTGAGCAGCCATCACCACGCTTCACAATCTATTAGAGGAACTGTAATGTTAAAATTCACTGGCATGAGATAATCTTTCAATATCTTTTATTCATATATTTTATTTACCTGACGGAATCAGTCAAATTCAATTGTTTCCTGCTATTTAAATCGTCTCGTGACGAGTGGCACCTCAGTTAAAGAGTGTGATGATGTTGCTTAGCTTCTACCGCAGTGATCAAAGTAGATGTTCCTCCGCACTTTTCCTCTTGTGAGGCCCGTGAGCGGTCTGGCAGGCGCACGGCGGGTTTAACGGTGTGATCTTGCCTCTAGCCAAGGCTCCGGCTGCGTGGAATTTGGTCCACAGTTTCCGGATCCAGCAGAGTCCAAAGACCCCTCAGAACCGACCTCTGCAGAGTCCAGGTTCCCCTCCTCTCCCTTCACGCCCTGATCCGGCTTAATCTGCGCTCATTGATTACCCCAGAATCACGCTGTAGAATCCGTAACCTGGTAGAACGCCGCCCAACGCGCTCCACAATCCGCTCCGCCTAATCACACTAAACCGCCGTTATTGGATGATTTCACCAGACCTGTTCCCAGATACATTTGATCTTACTCAGGGAAGAATATCTAATCTTCCTGAGTCCAAAAACATTTGTTTAGCAAATTATGGAAATAACCGTAAAAATGAAAAGTGTTATTGTTGTTTGACTCCGATCTGTTCGTCGCTGAGTGCACATCCTCCGATGTACTCGCCCTGATTGATCGATTAGCTTTCTAATGTACATGTTAGAAGTTAAAAAGGGATCAGTTTGTGCCTGGTCACTTCGTATGAAAATAAGGTTTCATGTGATCTTTTTAGCATCATTCAGATGCATTTGTTTTACGGTAGATTTTAATATAAAAACTCATCTGAGTGGTTTTAATTCCATATCTCTACTTCCCCCAAACCTAACAAAGGAATGCTTTCAATTTTCTTTTAATTGATTAGACAACCCTCCCCCGTCCCCCCCCCGCCCCTCCGAAACCAATCATGTGCTGCATTGCAAACTATTCTGACGACATCTCAGCTTTCTCTACTGTTCCGTCTGTGCATCTACTGGCCACATACACACCTTACTCGCATATCTTCTCCTCAGATGAGAGGGAGTTGGGGGTGGACGAAGGACCCTCTAATGAAGCACAGAGTGAGAGCCAATCAGAGGAGCAGCGGGAGGCGGAGGAGGAAGCGGTGGCGCAGGAGGAGGAGGAGGATGAAGCGGTGGCGCAGCAGGAGGAAGCGGTGAAGGAAGAGGAAGCGGTGAAGGAAGAGGAAGCGGTGAAGGAAGAGGAAGCGGTGAAGGAAGAGGAAGCGGTGGCGCAGCAGGAGGAAGCGGCGGAATCCGAGCAGAGTCTCAGCGCCCCCCGAGAGGCCGAGTCTCTGCCTCCATAGTCGCAGAGAGTCCAGAAGAGGACGGTCCGGTCCAGCAGAAGGTGTCGCTATTGGCCACGACAGACAGGCGGCCTTTTAAAAGCAATATAGGTGGACGAGGATGGTCACCAACGGTAGTTTGATTATATTGTTCCTCCTTTCAACCAAAAAGTACACCGCTCACACTCTCCCAAACACGCAGAGGAGATGATGGAGATGATGTGCTCAGTAAATGGTGTGTCTTCAATAAAGTAATGCGCCGCGCTCTTCACATGGTCCATTAGAATTGTCCAATGATGTTGCCAGAATATGAAGTCGTCCACGTTTGGAAGGAAGTTCTTCTTAGAGCTGTTTGTCCATAGAGCAGTGTGCTGCTTGTAATGCTCTATATGTGGAGACTCGTAACCTCGCGGGTTCAGTCTTGTATGATTTACACTATAAGGTTATTTTAGGTTGGCTGGTTGTTTGGCTGCTGTATGATTTGTTAATGGCGTGATTTTAGGCAGAACTGCTGGTTCATAGTTTCAGCAAAAACGTTCTTAAATCCTAATTCCTGGTTCTTAATTTAGCTGACTCCACATATCTTGAATACGATCACAGGTTATTGTGACACAAATTCAGGTCTGGAACATTACTGTTTTGTCGGGTTGTGAGAATCCGGCCGTGAAGGTTTCACGGTTCTGCTTCAGCTTTCTTCACATCCCACACGAGCTGGTGCCCTACTTTTAAAACTGCTCCGGTACGTTTGTCATATTAAAGTTTTAACCACGTTTTAACGCTGCCACAAGCGTCGTTCTCCTCGTTAGCTGCCCTCCGATCTGCTGCCGAATCAAAGAAAGCTGCTGCTGCACGTCTCTACATTCAATCCTTTGCTTCCTCTGCTGGTGAGAAAGTTTAATGAAACTGAAGCTGATCAGACACCAGACGTGTGGCGCACGTTTGTTTGTAGACTTTTTTAAATGTGTGCGTAAGATTTATTGACAGCACGGAAACATTTTACCAATTATTAATTTATCTCCATCTGGTTTTTGCCAATCGTGATCCAATCAGTTAAATGATCATTTGCCAAACCCACCGTTTAACCTGTCATTTCCTGATGTCATTTGCACTGATTTTCTCTTTAAGTTATTTGGCCGTATTGTGTTTTAATGCTTTTGAGGTATTAATCACTATTGAGGAGTGTAGTCCTGGTCCGGGGCTCGGTAGCATTTGACATGTTGATGTTTTCTCCACTTTTCATTCGGTTTGTAACCGCGTGTTGTTATCGTCATGCCGTAGCGGTGTAATCTTCACCGTGTCGAGCTGCTGTAGCAACACAAGGAGGTTTGTTGGCATCCCGTGTTTCTTTTTGTCATCAAATAGAGCGAGAAGAAATGAGATGAGTGTCTATGCAAATGTAAATATGTGTGTCACCTGCGTTGTGCAGGTCTGGACCTAGAAACGCACACACACAGTGTACAACAACAACACTTTGAAATATGTATTTTTAATGTGTGTAATTTAGGATGTTCACACTAATGTGTTTGTGTGTTTCTAGTTAGTTGTTGAGTTCCCCAAAAACTCACAACTATCCCGAACAATTAGATAAAAGTTGCTGTTTGAATCAGCACATCGCAGCTAAAGTGCTTTTGGACAAAAAGTGTGTTGGATGTTGAGAAACCGTGTGATCAATTCAAAAACTCGGTGACCACAGTTTGATATTTGATGGTTGAAATGTTTACAAGCTTTTTATCCCTCATAAGAACTGCTGGTGGTAAGAACGTGGTAAAAGTTCCATGTACGAGGCTGTCACTTATATTTAATATTTAAAAGGTCTCTGATTCTGACTTTGCTTTGCATTTGTAGCTTTGTTTTGCTCCACTATATTTATTCTTTACCTTTCTGCCAGCGCTGGCTGTCCTTACGTGGACGCATGGCACGCCTAATAAAAGTTTCTCAACAATGACCGATTCATCAAGTTGTGGTTCTTAAACGCTCGCATGTCCGCTTCACAGATTGATTTGTCCAAATTAAATCTAGATTAATTAGTCAGATAAATATCACCTACCAATTCACTTTCATCACGAGAAGTAATATCCGACTTTATTTGCAATATATTAATTAATCATTTTTAATAATTAATGCATTGCTTATGTATTAATAATACAACAATGAAGAAACATGGTAGAAAATAAACCAATAATTAAATTAATTTGTCACTTTTTTCGCATCTTCACAACCACAAATACATATACAATATGTGTATATGCATACAGCCGAGTATGTATGTACACGTACAATGACGAATGATCAACTCCGTATGGAAGAACTTTACTGTATTAATAAACCAACCGAATTATTTTTTCAGAGCTGCTCAATAAATAAATAAATAAATAAATGTTTTGCTTCCAATTCATTTTATCCACTGCGGCAAAATTTAAGCCGCACAAAAAACACAAATATTTTCAGCATTAACTGCGTGTTCCCAAAAGTAAAACAAGTTCTTGAACTAATTCATTCAGATGTTCATTTACATGTTAAGTTGATAAAATGCAATAAAATTGAGTTACAACGTAACAGCAGATCAGTTTAAACTGATTTTAAACCTCGGCCGTTCAGCGTGTTTGAAAACCATCTTTCCAAAAGTAATATTCAAACTACAGCAGAATCAGGGGGAATTCACACAAAGCACACCTTGCCCCTCAATATTTACACAATATAAACGTGTAGAAGTCAAAGGAGTGTCAGACAGAACAAGCCAATAAAACTTCCAGGACGGAATAAATCTCACCTGCACTCAAAGACTAAACATTCAACTGGCAGCAAAATTAGATTCAAATACAATTAAACATGTCTTCTACATCCAATGTAAAATGTTGATACACGGCATATTTATTATTAGCATTCCTCCTCAGATATGAAACTACTCTTAAAAGGTCAGTTTTAACATTAAAGAAAATCCTTTGAGCCAAACTTTAAATCAAGCTGCTGGAAAAAAAAGAACAAAACAATTGACTCTTTACTACATTTGCGCCTTATAATACTAAAACTCTGGAGTGATAAAACACTGTAGAAAAACACCTGAAGTAACAGTCAAGAATAGCTTCAAACTGTGTGTGTGTGTGTGTGTGTGTGTGTGTGTGTGTGTGTGACAACCCTTCTAAATGTAACGTCGGGTCCTACAGCGTGTTGAGCTCGATGAGTCTCCCGGCGAACACGGCGAGCGTGCCGATGATGCACACGGCCATGAAGACGCAGAGCAGGATGTGGTCCAGAACCATGGCAACGAACTTCCACTCCTCTGCTGCCTGCAAGGAGACGGGACGGAGAGAGACAGAGACGGACAAACAGGCGGGGCAAGAGAGTCAAGGGTCCTTTTGCACAAGTTAAATGATGAGTTTTTAAAGTTTTGCTTTACATGTTATAGACTTGTTAACGTTGAATTGCCAGTGAAAAACGTCTTTGTGTTTTTTGTGGTCATTGTTGTGTTTTTTTTTGCCCACCTGATAAAAAATTTAATTTCATGGAATATCTATTTGATAGAAACGACTTGTGTCTGTGCAGTTAATGGCAGGCTGGAGATAGCAGCAGCTTAGCCTAGCTTAGCACAAAGGCTGAAAGCTGGCTCTGTCCAAAGGCTCTCTCATAAATACACTGCATCTTGTTTGTTTAATCCAAAACAAAAACAAAAGTTTGTAAACCTGAAGTTTTTGTTGCCAGGCAATTAATTTTGGCTTCTGGAATTAAAAGAAAAGGCATTTAATTCTTTGCGGTTACTATATTAGGATATTACACCGGCTAATGTGTAAAACGATTGTGTGTCTTACATTGTTAGATTCCTCATCTGATTTCATGGTCTCAGCGATGTACTTCACCCCTTCAATGGCCCTGCGAACATCTGGGTTTTTGGTGATGGGAGACACGTAGGTGTCACTGGTGGGGGCGGGGTTACCTGCACAGGAGAGACAGGCCATACTGGTTGTTGGAATACATAATATTTAACAGCACAGAGTGAAACAGCATCCTCGTAACCTTTAAGTGAATTTAATGGAGCAGATTACAGCTGTTTTGTGTTTAACGAGTTGAAGTGTTTCTTCAACTCTGGGATCAGTTGGTATCGTCTACATTACATGTAAAACTACATATAAAACTTACATTACATGTAAAACTACATATAAAACTTACATTACATGTAAAACTCTCCCTACCAACCCAATCACACTGTGACCCGCTGCCGCAGAACAAGTGCCACTCGTCCACACGTCAAAATGTCCGTGGGACCTTGCCTGAGATGTCAGAGATGTCCATGTCGGTCGGGAACATCCTCATCTGTCGGATCTCCAGACTGGGACGCTTCATGGTTGAGAAGAACATCATGTTGGGAATGGTTTCGATGAAGACCTGGGACACGAACGGATGGGCTCCTTCTTATTCAGTCAGGCACAACATTTACTTTAATCGCCACAGGTTTGGATGCTAAAGAAGAGCTAAAGGAGCTGAACCTTGCGTATCCAGGCGGGCATGGTGTGCGTGCTGGGCGAGCGGTGGTGCGTGTTGATGACGATGACCGTGATGATGATGGAGGCGATGACGAACACCATGGTGAACAGCATGTATTTCCCGATGAGGGGAACGGCACTGGAGGTGGAGGGGATCAGCTCCACGATGACCAGCAGGAAGACAGTGAGAGACAGCAGGACGGAGATGGAGAGGGTCATCTTTTCTCCTGGGGGGGACGGAGGCAAAGACAGTTCTCATCGTAGGAATGCTGGCGATTCAGGGATTTACGGACAACGCGAAGAACCAACTTGTACTTTGCACTACGCACCGGAGTCGGTGGGCAGGTAGAAGACCAGTCCGGTGAGAAAGGAGAACAGCATGCAGGGAATGATGACGTTGACGATGAAGTAGAGAGGCAGACGCAGCATCAGGAAGTGGTAGGTGATGTCGAGGTACGGCTTGTTGGGGCAGCAGCTGTAGTTAACCGTGTGTTTCCAGCTCCGGTAGTCCTTCAGCACCCACTCGCCGGACTCCATGAAGTTACTGAGGTCCGGCCGGGCGCTGTCCTGAAACACAGGCGAGTACGGAAGATGAAGCCCTGTGATGTAAAAGGCTGATAAAAAGGGATATTTGAGGCCGACATGCTGTAAACTACAGGACTAATTGGACGGTTGTCTTGCGAATGAAACCCTGGACGAAGGCTCTCACACTAATTTGTCAACATTGCTCGTGACACAGACAAACATGACTTATAAATGTGTGCGTGATACACTCACTGGGTTGATGACCACCAGCAGTCCGTCGTACGTCCACGTCCCCAGCTTCATGCTGCAGTTCTGCAGGTCGAATGGGAAATGCAGGACGATGATCTCGCAGTAGCTCTTGAAGATGGCCGGAGGGTTCCACGTTATCATCCCAGTGTGCTCCAGCAGGACTTTGGTTTGGTGGATGATGGCGAAGTCGCCGTCGGCACTGGTGGAGGAGAGGGGGCGGGGGGCGAGGGGGGGCAGTGAGAGGAGCATGCGAGGCATTGTGCCGATCGAGGGGAGTTTGAGTGGTGCGTTTACTTGTTGTACAGCACCAGGTCTGGTTTCCAGATGTCGGTTGAAGGGACTCTGATCTTCCGGATGCCGCCGTAATCGTCCGGATCCCAATTCAGGTTCACATCTCGCCAGCGCTGCGGCGCAAATCAGGAGAACTTTTAGAGTTGTAAAAATATTTAGCCTGCCTACGCACTGAATAAGCCAATTTTTGTTGGTTGTACCAAGTGGTACCCAACAGAATAAATACAAATATAAATGATCACATGTCTAGTATCATTAGTGTGATATCATACATTTTATTACATAAAATAATACATGATTGTCATTGAATTCAACAGCCACATTTACCTGTTTGAGACGAACATTGCTGGTCACAATCTGATTAACTTCATCCTATGAGGCAGAAAAATACAGAAAAACAATCAAAGGTAAGAAACTTTTTCAGGAGAGATTTTGAGGACCACAATAAACATGCAAACGTTCTATGGGCAGACTGTGGCACTATAACATTCAGGGACATAAACTATCCTGTCGTATTAGTCTTGAAGGCAAAGCTGTTGATTTAGCAGCTCTTGAACTCCTCAATCAAATATGAATGCAGCCAGGTGGAGGTCCTACGTTCTGCATGCGTCCAGACATCGCCGAGCTGAGCTGATACGACCTCAGGTGAGCAGCCGTAAATTCTCTTTATGGTTTTAGTCGGCCGAGCCAGCCGAGCCAGCCAGGTGCTCTTTTGTTTCTCCTTCACTTTCATTATAGTAGGAGTTTCTCGTTTAAAAAATAAAAAGGAACAAAAATTCCTTTTTTTAATAGAATTACTTTTGGAAATTGGCAGAAATTTAATAGAAAGAAATCATCATTACTGATGCACTCAGGGTTGGCCAATGAATTTGGTCATTTTTAAACTTTTTTCTAGCAAAGGAAATATTACTGTTAGAAGTAAGTTAGAAGCAGATGTCAGGATAGATGTGTGGGTTACTCAGGAATCAGGAAACAGGAAACATTTATTGCCATAATATGTCAGACATACAAGGAATTTGACTTGGTGGCTGGTGCATATAGCAGACAGTACGACAAAGGACGACAAGACAACAGTGCACGAGCAAAAAAATAAAAAAATAATGCTATGGGTTATAAGGTACTATAAGGGTATGGATTAGTTTAAAATAAAGGAATAAAAGTTAAAGTTAAAAATATTTAAAAATAAAAAAATGAAGTGCACCAGCGAACAGAAAGTGACAAATGACAAACTGGTTAATGCATAACGTAAAACATCCTGGGTTTTACTTTATCATTGTTTTTTAAATTTAACCCTTTCATACATGAGTTAAGAAAACAGGAATTTTTCTATTAAGTGTTTATATTGATCTTTAGGCTTGAAAAACAAAATTTCAACTTCTTTTTTTTCAAAAATGTTTTAAAACAGGTGCCGATAGAAATGTTTTGCTCAAAATCAAGTACACGTAGTGCGGGAAACCCTCAGTGCGCATGCTCAGAACCGCGATCTTACGCCACGCGAGTGACGTCACGGGCTCGCGGTCGGCAGGAGTTCGGGCGTTCTGGGAGCGGAACTGGAATGACATTGACCGAACTCCGGGAACTCTCCGTCAGAATTGGATAACTGTGGCTACGTCCTACAGAGCGAGGGAGGAGGAGGGAGCTCGGAGGGATAAAACCCGGGTGTTCACCGCCGGGGAGATTTATCCAGAACCGAAGCGGTTTACTGCGGGAAAACAAATGGCGAGAGATCGCTGCTAACGGCTAACGGTTAACGGCTAATGCCAGCGTTTCACAGAGGACTCCCGGGCTATCTGGAGATGCTGCCGTGTGAGAAGAAGAGAAGACTTTCTGGATCGCGAGCAGACATAACATGACATGAACGCAGAAAGAGGACACGGTAAAAAAAAATTGTGCTATTTATATCGGCAAATGATTTTCTTGTGGGTGTCGCAGCGCTAATGCTAGCTAACGTTAGCGCGCTCAGTACTGCCGTCGGGCTCCGTCTGGTCTTCAGTCCGGGTCTTCTCGCCGAGGAACCCGATGGAGCTACTTATTGTTTATTTGCACTGACCTTATGTTCTGCTGCTTTTGTGCTGGTTTCATGGCCGCTTGTCATCTCTGGGTAGGTTTGCTTGTTGGGATTGTAACTTTAGTATTATGTGGAAGATGAGTGTGTGTGTGTGTGTGTGTGTGACGCCATGTATGGATGTAGTTTTATGGATAAAAGTCACAGAAACCGCCTCACTGGTGTCAGCCCCTGAGATGTTTCAGCTGAAGGTGCTCAGATGTTCCCATTCGTTGGGGTGAAATACTTTAAATAACGTTTTCCACAATTGTGCTGATGAAGATGGGTTATGTTTTATTTCCTTAAAATAAAAATACTTCACCTGCATCGTTTGACGGGTTCACAGACTGGTTGAACAAGATACGGTCTGGTTGGGTTATTATTTCGCGCCAATCCTTCTCTGAATAGTTATTTTTGTTTGAGGCCCTAAAGACCATGAAGCACAGCTACAGTAAGATGTATTCAGGGTTGTGTGTTGCTGATTGTTATTCTTTGTCCGGCAGAGAGACGATCTTTCCTTTGGGACCCTGCTTCTGGAGCGAGGATGAATCCTCTTCATACATTGTCACCATAGACGTCCTCTTTGCAGCCTGAACGCAGAAGGAGAGCTACGAACAGTAAGAGCTGCTTTGTTTAATTCTCATTGTGCTGCTTGTGTTTAGTGGCCGCTGTGCCGATATGCTGCAGTGCAAACGCAAACATGGCTGCCGTGCCGAGCTACCTTCTGCACTGCAATAGAACAGTACTGATGCATTACATTGACTCTGGTGTTCTAGACTGGATGTTTTACCCATGAGAAGTGTTTATATTCGCTGAAGAAGCTCAGATGTTCCCTATGGTGGTGAACATTTTACTAAAGTGAAATTGGTCAACTATTGTGCTGATGAAGATGAGTTATGATATATTTCCATACGAGGATTGTTTGAACGTAGCTTTTTTAGTTGATTCCTATTCACTTGCATTGTGTGAAGGGCCATGTTTGGGTAATCTTGACTGGTTAAGCCAGCTAAAGACCCAGAAGGAGAGCAACATTAACATGTGCTTATATACTATTTTCATCGTGGTTGTGCTTTTTGTTTTCTTGTTTGGCTACCGTGCCATCAGAGAGACAATATTTCTGTTGTGATCTTGCTTCTGTAGCAGGAGTGAAACATTAAACACACATCCGCTTCACACATTGTCACGTGCCATGGACGTGCTCTTTGCCGCTGAACGCAGAAGGAGAGCTACGAACAGTAAGGGCTGCTTTTTTGATGCTTGTGTTCCGTGGCCGCTGTGCCGATGTTCTTCTGTTTTTTGGGTTGGTGCTGCAGTTCAATGGCTAACATGGCTGCTGCGCCTTTTGTCATTTGCTCTCAGTCACCTTGTTGCATCTTTGTCTGTGGATTTCTTGCCACAAATTCCTGGTTGTTCGCATTATTCTGGCTGCTGTGCCCAGACATGTCGCAAATGCTTTGGACTTGTTGTGCGTATGTGAGAGAAACCTTGTTTCTATAGTGTGTTGGTATGGTAATGGAAAAGAGAAGATATTGTTATTGCTGAATAATCAATTTTTATTTCACTATGGCATGGACTTGAATCTGTTCCGTATTGACTGAAGAGGTTTTCACATCTGCTCTTTTCATTTAATTACCATTGATAGGGGCGTAGCTGGATCTATTTTTTTACACCACAAATTGCTGACTTTTTCTCAGATGATGTTACTCGCTATAAATGATGATATATATCCTATATTTGTCTTCAAGTAACATAACATCAGTTAACATCAGTTGTGAAGTGAAATTGCCGATACGTCATAAATCAGGACTGGTACAGAGTACAGGTCAGCGTTTAATGGTACCATTGTGGTTCCAATAGTGGCCGAAGTAAACATTGTATTATTGGAAGGTAAAATGGCACAAATAAAAAAGCAGTTAAATTAGATGATTACTCCTTAAAAATACAATGCAGAAATCCAACTTGGTCTTCAATCTTAATAGTATTGCTAGTAAACCTGAAAGGCACAAGTGAAAATATTGTGAGCATAAGGCCACTTAAATTGCGTATTTACAGTGTGTTTTATACATTTAGCCTTGTGTTACCACCTAGCGTGTCCCTTACCACGCTGATGAGCTGTATCAGCTGTAGTCCCACAGAGACCACCACGGCGTCACTGAAGTGGTCAACGGGACGAACCACCTTGCTGTAACCAGTGAAGAGCTTTTTCACCAGTCGCGTCTCGGCCTCTGAGCAGGACACTGGACCTATAAGACACACGCAAATATTTCAGCCGGACCATAGTGTGTTCACCTTCACGCTTAACCACCAGTGTGAACTTCACTGGGCGGACAAACTGGTTTGCACAGTCGTCCGCTTCAGTTTGAGCTCACTTTGATGTCTGAGATGAACAGTGACATCTCCAGCTGACGTACATGTCCCCTCAAATGTTTTCACACTGGCACCAAGATCACAGCTGAAGCCAGCGGATCGCTTTTAACTGTGATTCACTCAGCAAACATTTTCCCAGCCTTACAACCAGCAACCCGAAACCTTCACTGAGGGAAGTGTAAGGGAATGCAGACGGCCGATACAGGAAACAACAGATGAGAGGCGGCGACAGGCGCATGCAGACAGATCAACCGGCCCGATTGGTGAAAAGCCTCGGCGCTGAGTGTCTCACCAGCTGTCTAAGCACTGAGATCAAGTATGTTTCTCTAAAAATCCTCGGAGCAGAACCCGATCTGAGTGTTAAGAGGGTGTTTGGGAAAGACCGCCCATGGTCGCCCCTCTTGGCAGTAAGTCTGGATCAGTGAGAGTTCAGAACATTTAACCTGCATCTAACACCTCTTCATACAAAAAGGTGTTTCCATCTAACAGACGTACAGCCCTTTTACTTTTTTTAACCCTGTCTTTGTGAGCCTATGAACACTTGCTGGTTCTGCACTGGAGAATGATTTAACCGTATGATGTGCGTTTTTGCGGATGTTGCTTTGACGAGTTCTGTTCAGCTGTGACGGGCTTTTATGAAACGTTGTCTGTGATCAGGATTTTCCCTGGTTTCCTTTTAGAAGGCACAATATTTTTTGTTGTCGTTTGGAAAAAGGTTTTACTTTTAAACTCTCGTTCTTGTTTGTTTGTGTTTTGGTGTGGCTCTTTAATACAGTACCACACTTAAGTTATTTCAGAGGCACAAAAGACTTGACAGTTTTGTCCCTGCAAAAATCTAATTATGTTAACTTTTTAAAATGACATCACTATAACCATTAGAGTGATGCGCACGTTTTGGAGCCTGGAGGTGTTTTGAATCCAGATTATCTTTCATTTATTTGTCGCTTGTTGTTGTTGAGGAATTGGCTGGGAATCCACACTCGGTCACATCTACAGGATCTTGTTTCATTTATCCAGGAGGAGCAGACGACACACACACACGGATCAGGACTCCTTCTTCTTTTGGCAACTTTTCTCAATGACGCGGTCAGTTTGGTGTGTCTTTGTACGGTGCTGATGTTTATTTCGCTGTCTGTTGTCCTGCTTTGATCTGGCCACATACAGAAATAGATAGGTGGGGAGGCGGGACAGAGGAGCCACTTGGAGGTGTCAATCACAGCCCACTCTCAACTTAGATTCCCTGCAGGATGCTGAACCGTAACTGTAGAACACAAAGGGGACAAGACCCTTTGTGTTTTTCTGGAAAATGGCATGTGTGGAGATTCTTTCTAGTTGTGTTTGAGTCCATGTAAATACTATCGGCTGGAAATGAGCTTTTGACCAAATGTCTTGCGACAGTTTGGGAACATGCTGGTGAGGAAAAGTTAATCGGTCCTGCTGTGCTTTTTATTACATTACATGTCATTTAGCTGATGCTTTTATCCAAAGCGACTTACAATAAGCATTCAACCATAAGAATACAGACACAGAAGAACAAGAAACAAGAAAGTGCAATTTCATCAAATAAGCCGATCTACAACTTGCTAAAGATTAGAGTCATTATAAGTACAAATTAAGTGCTATAATTTGTTAGTCTTTTAGTGGAGGTAGAGTCTGAAGAAGTGGCATTTGAGCACAGCTTTGAAAGAAAACAGAAATCACATCATCTGTTCTGCTTCCTCGTGGGGTTTTGTAATCTCCAAGAAAATTGTTCATATCAGTTAAACCTGGTTGATTGAGATAACTAGTTACTTGATGCTGTGGGTCTCTGACAGCCACAAATCTCCAGCTGCAAGGTCATTGGTGAATAAGTCAATTCTTCCTTCCGTTAAAAGTCTGTGCATGTAGAAAGCAAAGAAATGAATCCTTGTCTTTGCGAATAACAACCGTTGATTTCTGTCTTCCCTGTAGCTGTACTCTTTTAATGAGACGGGTCTGTTCTGTGTCTGACTGGCTCATCAGGGCAATAATGTTTCTGTTTTAAACTATTCATCATTCCAAAATAAGATACCAGACATTTAAGACGAGGTGCCCCTCTTGTAGAATAGTAAGGACTGTGTGATGTGTATCTTTTAAGCCATCTAAACATCTTAATTCATCAAGCCTGAGACAAAACATTCATGTTTGCAATAATATGAAGACACACAAAGTGGATTCGAAAGTCAAGAAGTCAAGTGCTTTTTCGAGCCACAGTTGTGTCTCACGTCTCCAGTGGTGGTGGTTTAAAGGCTGAAAACATTCATCTTTAACACTCCATCAGGCTATCACATTTCTCACCAGTGGGTTTCAGCAAATGTGCCTGTGCTCAAAATCCCTCAATTGGACGGTATGATTTAAAAAGTAGTAAAATTAATAGACTGGTAATCTGGTGTGGAAACTTGAGGCTCTATTACATAAAGAGGGAAAATAAACACTGAGGCTAAGTCAGCCTGAAGATTAATTTTCAATTAAGAGTGAAGAAATGTAAAACCCTTTCTATTAAGTCCTGATCAAAACTTGGTTATTACATGTTTTTGCTGTTTAATCTTGTGTGTTTGGTGGTAATATTCTTCGGTTTGAATTTAGCTCTCAAAGCCATGTGATCAACACAGAGGACATGTTGGAAATTCCCTTTTTGTTCCCTTTGCCTAATTCCATTGGCAGTATGTCTTGGATCATATGTTGTCTTTGAGGTACGAGCCGATCGCTCTGTGTTGATGTTTCACTAAGTGAACTTATGCTTCTTACCCGATAATCACTCACGTTCTGTCACAGTGACTCTTTCAAAGCGGTTTGTGAAATCCATACAACAGAAAAGTAGACACACATTTTCCCCATAAAGAGCCTTAAGTGATAAAACAAAAATGAAAGAAGATAAAGGTACAGAAGGAATACAAATCTTCCCAGTGATCCACAATTTGGGTAAACAGGATCTGCCTCTGTTTGTTGGACTGGATGCTCCAGTATTTGAATGGTCACAGGCTTAAACCCCCCCCCCCCCAGGAGACGACGTGTGTGTAATTATGTCTCTACTGTCCAGTCCAAGTGTCCTTGAACAAATACAATGAGCACAGTCCTATCAAGAGGACAACCGCTAGATTCCTTAATTATAAATGCAGCAAGGAATTCCAACAATGCTGAGCTGCCTTTTTTAAGGCAGCTGAAGGACGACTCCTTCGTTGCCTTGCATTGGCACGTTTAAAGATTCAGCAGTGTGTTTGAGTGGGGGAGATATCATTTAAACGGTGCGTAGCCCCTGTTGAATAGAGGACTTTGTGATTTGGTACATCGTTGTTTTGGGGGTTTCTAGGTGTGTTTGTGGAGAGATCCAGGCTTTATCTCAAGACGACTTGTATCTAGCAACATGTACGCATCAAAACCTGTTTTGTATACAGTTTCCAATAAAAACATAACCCAAAAGACTGCTGGGTGGTTGTTTTCGAAATACCCAAAGTTGGTGAGATTTAACTCAGTTTGTAGTTTCATTCAGAGGGAACAACATTGGATGTTTTCATTACCTGCGCTGCTACAGGAAGCCAAGAAACACAAAACCTAGAAAACTCAAATATCGCCAATACCAGATTTTCACTTCCCCCGACAAACGCACACACAGAGAAGACTTACCGGCAAGTACACTGAGAATCCATAGCAGCAAGATCTGGACCGTAGAGCGATTCATATCCCCGCCACCTTTATGTCTAAAGCATCCGTTCGTAAACGTGCTGCTAACCAGGTCGCAGGCTCCCCTCGAGCTAACTGATGCTACACAGAGGCAGGCACTTTGGATTTAAAATGAGTGGTGGTGGGTACGTGGGTCGCCCAGTAAGAGAACACTGAGCTCTGGTTTCTCCACCTCCCCCACCCAACAGCAGCACCCCCTCAGCCCACTTCAAGGCCCAGGTGACAGCTGGGTTTGTGTCTGTGTCATCATTCAGTTTTTCCTTCGGTAATGCCTCAGGATAGTATCTTATACTGGCGTGATCGAGAAGCAGAGGGCAGCGGGAGGCTCAATGACAGACGTGGCGCAGAGGAGGTGAGGAAAGACGGACGGTGTAGGGAGACGGGATGGGGACACGGAGGCAGACAGACAGGAGGACAGCTGAAAGCCCTCGCTGATGGAATGAGACCCATGTCACACATGAAACCCCCCACAGCGCCTGCATGCATGCCATGAGGGGGAACTCAAGCGTTTGTGCGTGTTCGACTGAACTGACCAGCATACCATAAATACACCGTTTATCGTTTTGTAAGAACTCGTTTTTTTTGTAAAATCTGTAATTGAGGTTGTTTCAGCTGCTGGTTGTTTTTCTGCTCATGTCACACACTTTTTCATGCAGGTTAACGCCAGTTAGCTATCTGCCGGGAGATTTGTTTTTAGCAATGCTACCTACCTGGGAAAAAACAATATGGCAGTCAAACAATGCTGCTTTTGGACCCAAACAAGCCCAAATATTCATAAGCCTTTAGGCTCTTGAGCTCCTTCATCTGGCGAGCCGGCTTTAAGATGTCTGGAGGACGATGTGATTTGTAATGTTGACAACATTTTTATGTATTCGCTGAATTAAAAAGGTTGCCACTGCCAACCAAAGGCCAAATATTGGTTACCATTTCTCAAAGATAATTGCAAATAATACACATTGAACTGAGAATGCTCTAGTTCTCACTAAGGAATCTTCTCCTGATAACACCAACCAGCATGAGGCAATGACCACCTTATCTTTTCCTTGTTCGACTTATGTTAATGTCTCTTTTTCTTGTAGTTCCCCTAATAAAGAACAATGGTGTCTTATGACCCAGAGCACTGATGTCCTACAACGTCTTTAGTTGGTAGTAAGTCACTCGTTTAAAACAATTATTTGAATACAGTGAACACAAACTCCTGTCGCCACCAGATGGCAGTGCAAGACTGAGAAACAAGGACACATGGCTCAACAACACTACCGTTAACACTGTTTTCCACATGTGAAATCCAATTGACTGTATCAGTGTGTCTCCTTGTGGTAGTTTGCCCCCAATTGGTTTCTCTTTCCAAGTCTGCATCTCCGTCAGTCTGTTCTCATCTGCTGGTTTCCTTCCCGCCTCTGTTTCCGTTGTGTTTCTGATGCACTCTCACCTGTTTCTCTTCCTTTCTTGCTCATACACAATGGGGGGGGGTTATGAAGAGCACTTTGGGATGAATAATGTAAGCTGCCTGTCAATGTCTAACAGACACCTCATATCTCAGTCCTCATTTTAATGACATTCAGAAAGTGCATCACTTTCAATCCCATTCTGGCCGAAATTACTCAATTCATCTACCAAGATGAACATCTACTAAGTTCATCTCTATATCTGTAATTTAATGAAAAAAATGTAGTGCATTGCGGTGTTGTCAATCACACTCTTGCATTCCCAAATACCCTTTTTGAAAATCTACATTTAACCAGATTAGTCAATTTCTTTCACAGGAAGTATCACCTCTTTGAAATGGAAGATATCAGATTTTTAGAATAAAACCTACTTTCCTTCTTGATGAAAATGTTATTCAGTTAAAGAAAGTATTCTGCAGGAAGCTGACAACAAACTAGTAACAAAAATGTGCATTGTTGTATTTTCTGGAGAGACAGGTTTTCTGTGTTGTATCCTAAACCTCTAAATGTAAATGAGCAGAACAATGTAAGATGTCCTTACAAGCACATTGAAATGTATTGAATCAAACACTCGGGCACAGAACCGGTGCTGTTGTTTGCAATGTACAGATTTCACATTTTGTATTTAATTTAAGTAACTTTGCGTGGATAAACCTTTGATGTGAGAGGCAGTTGTGCAGTTTGTTGGGGTCGGAGCGAAAGCTAAACATTCGAAAGCAGAATAAATGTAGTATTTTGAGGTGGACTACATATTTGTGTTTGTGTGATTCCAAAGACCTATGTTCTAAAGATAAACTGTAATTTTCTGTAGAAAAACAAGCCGCCTTATTGTTTGATTTTTGCTGCTCCAGAAATCTTCCACTACAAACCATGTCAGACGATTCTTAAGTCGATTTATACCCCCGTTAAAGCGATTTTTAATGGTGCTTTGTGTAGTATCTTATTTCTGTAACAGCCAGTGCTACTCTAAGGATCGCTACTTGAGCACAAAAGAAGGAATTTCTATAATTTCTGATGAAATGGGCCACAGAGCAGCATTCATGAAGCCAACACGGGCCGCATGCCAGAACCACACATAAGAACGGATTGGTTCATAATTGGCTACCTCGCCCCATTAAGGAGAACTTTCTCGCACTTACGCTTAAGTACAGATGTACATCATCACCTCTTATCTCACGTAATCTGTCGCCCTTTCTGTGATCTTATTTTTATTTATTTTAAGTTTTTTTCTATTCAACCTATGGCTGCACGGAATAAGTATAAGATTTCCGTACAGTATGAATTTCTCACGTAACGTTCATACCGGTGTTGTGCCACAAGAACCGACGGCGGCCGGCAGAATTTATTTTTACACGTAATCACTGAGCGGCAAGCGGTCGGAGCTACTGAGGTCATGCTTATAACTTTAATTACAATGAATAAACCACAACAAACACTCTTTAACAGGGTGAAACACCACAACACAACAGCTTGTGACACATAAACACTTTGTTACACTAATAATTGTACATTTATAAAAATGACCCTGCCGAACTGCATGCTGGGTACAGCTCAGGGCTCCACGGTATGGCCAAAAATCCATATATCCAATTTTTCTAAATACCGTGTTATGGAGTTTTGGCCATACCGTGCACAGTCCTAATTCAACCTTTTCTTTATGGAGAATACAAAAATGCACGAGGCCTAGTGTCTTGCCGGTGGACACACTAAAATTAGGAGAGAATGACTTGGAGATACGTTGAAGCTTCTAGCCAAAAGTGTTGTAGAAGGAAATCAAGTTCTGACGCAGAATGGTTAGTTGATTTTAAAAAATTTTTTTTTTAACTTTTCCGTTAGGTGATGGCATTTAAAGCTTCAACATCCAGATTGTGCTTCCATCCTCCATCCATCGTCAAACCGCTTATCCTGCACACGGGTCGCGGGGGGGGCTGAAGTCCATCCCAGCCAACAGATTGTGCTTATAAATGTTGTTATTCCGATCCAATGTATGGCTGCCTTGAAAACGTTTCAATTTATTGTTTGTCATTAATACTTACAAATGCCTGAACTGAAGGCACATACAAAACCACACATTCCTAGCTTTGAGTTCTTCCAGTAAACATCAAATACATTAAGTTCTCCAGGAGAGATTTCTCCCATACTGCCGCTGTAATAAAGAGCAGAATATTCTGCACGCTGAAGGACCTCTCCTGGTTGCTCTGACTCAGGTTCTCACAATGTTATTGTGTGATATTGTCATTGATTGATCACTCAGGGCTCTTAATCCTATCTGCACACACCAGGAATCACAAAGAACGACACGTGACAAATATCCAGTGGCCTCTCTATTTGACAAGTTGGTTTACTGGGTACATCAAAGCTAAAACAGCCCCCCCTCCCCGAACGGCCTCCCACTCTGACCCGAATGTATAATCTTTGCCTGTCATCAAGGATAGAAAACTAGACGGCGCATTTGAGCGGGAGAGAGAGATGAGGGGATATGTTACCTGTGCAGTATACGTGGAGACTGGCTTGTTGCCGTAGGATTACCGTCCTGAATTCTGTTTCTGTTGTATCATATATTCACTCAAAGATCTGGCAGAGAGCTTTTTTAGGTTTGTTGTTCTAAATCGAGGTGCTTTCACACGGAGGATACTGAAGTGTGGCAGCAGACGATTTGGCCATTAACAATATTGTTTATTCGTATTATACTGTTAAGCACATACATGACTTCATATCACAGTTTATTAATCAGTTTTTATTATTTTACCAGTAGAGATTTTAACGTGGCAATTGCATTCTGCAGTCCAAGTTGATTGGGACTGAGTGGAATATAAGGTCAGGTGGTCTTCATGATCCACACGTACAGTATCAAAAGAAATAAGTGTCTGAGAGAAGAGAAATTAAAAGATGTAGAACAGCAAAGATTCTCCCAAAAGAAAATCCCTGTCTCACTTTGGTGCATATGTTTATTTCCATCCACAGCCAAAGGGTCGAGGTCGGATCCATCATTAACTTGATCAGTGATTGTTGTATTCCATTTGACAGTTGACTAAATTAACTTGGCTATGCACATGTGTTTAACTGCACTGACTCGACAGCATGAAGCACTGAATGCAGGACAGTTTGAAAGTAGGAGAAAGACAGACAGACGGACGGGAGGAGCGATTCAATATGTTGGTGGTGTTTGAGGGCATCCACCCCCACCCACTTCACTGAAGTAGCAAATAGTCAGCTTTTCCGTTCAAAAGAAAGCGTCTGAAAGCACCAGATTCCCTTAAACAAGCCCTCAGGTGAGAGATGATTACAAAGGACGAGTCCCCAAATGAAGAGTCCTAGGGTATTTTAATTGGCCTGGATTCTTTATGCTATATTTACTCGTATTAACGCTTGATGTGTTTTAATTTACCTACATTCAGGGTAAGTTTATGTCCCTGGTGGGTGGCAGGGCTGTGTGCCAGGACACATCTGTATGATGCCAGATTTGTTTGTCTTTTAAATCCTACTTGTTCTGAAGTGTTAATTTGGATGGATTAGTTTTTGTGCAGTGGGAAGGGCAGAAATGAATCTCACTCTTAAAGTAAGTTGAATTAACTTGTCTGCTGCTAATTGTAATCCTATCCGGGGATCGGTTTGGGTCATCAAACTGATTATTGATAACAGATGGAGTTGCCAGTGCGTGAAATAATATCCTGCTAATAAGGAACATATTGATGACATCCGACAAAATGTGAACGGAGCTGCTGCTCTGCAAACAGCCGAGAGACGCTCTGCGCATTTACGCACAAGGAACACCAACG